TTAAAAATGCTGTAGTTTCTGCATTAGGGAGAAAACAAAGATGTTAGGAAGCTGTGTGGCAACCAGCAAGTCGTTTTCTTAAGTACTTAAGAGTGATTATATAATCTTGGTTGTGTGCACACACAAAAAAAACGAATTTAAAAAAAAAATGCGTAGATAAAATGGTTATGAAGTGAAAACGAGGGCGAGGAAGAAGAGCTAGAAAACAGGAAGCAGAGAGATTGTAGACAAAGGAAGAAACAAAGGGAGCAGAGACCACACTGTCTAGACTGGGTTATTTCAGAAAACACCAGTTCCCTTCCTGCGCACCTCCTGTGATTATCTGCAAGCACCGAGTCCCCTTTTTGTTTTAATCTCCAAAGAGAATCGTTCTGCTGCTTGTTACAGAACCAAACTGGGCTTTTTCCTGTTCTGTCCTCCAGTGTGACTCAGTAGTTTTCAGCCCCAGCAGGGCCCTGAAATACGAGCTAAGCCTGCGACTGATACACCAGCTTTCTCCCCCCCCTTCTTGTTTTTTTGGTTCTGCTACAGATTTGAACACACATGATCTTCAGATGACCGACTTTAAGTTGTTCCACTTCGCTTAGAAACCACCTCAAACCACGCGGTTTAGAAGTCAGACGTCAGGTTTGCTGTGAGGGTGTTTTTTGGTGAAAGGAAGTTGGTGGTGAATGACTGACTGGTGATCTGCCCTGTGCTGGAAACCCCCTGACTTGCCCTGTCGGATGTGTAGTGTTTTACAGCACATCGAGCGTGTTTTAAGAACATTTCAGCTGCTAATTGGAACAAGACGAGGCACAGGTATTTGTTTTCTCCCCTCACAAGCAGTAATGTAGTTAATGGATGAATTAATGGAGGTGTATGTATGATTAAAACACATGAATACCGGTTTTATTTAACGAACAGTCGTCTTTTTCTCTCCAAACGACCTCCTTTTTGATCATAAAACATTTAAAGGTGCGGATTAGTGTCCGGTTGAAAGCTGCTGCAGATTTTAAAGAGTACATTTATTCATTTCATTATGCTGCGCTCTCGCTCCTCGTCTCGTTGGTGGGTCTCGGTACAGGTTCAGGTTAACGTGCCTGCTGTTTGTCTGACAGCTGGTCCCAAATGTGACAGCTGAGCCACGTCGTCCGTTGTTCCTTTGTGTCAGAAAGTCAGCAGTCACGGTTAATCTGTAAGCTGCCACGGGCCTCTCTTCAAGCCCTTTTGTTTGTGTCTTTATTTGTTGTTCTTGTTGTCAGATGTGACGTCGTCTTTTGTCTTAATATTCCTACTGATGAGCTGCTCAGAGACCTTGTAGGTCCCAGTTTAGCAGTCTACATTATAAACCGGTGTTTCTGGTTTTAAAGAGAAAGACACTGACTGATCACGTGTGCAGAAACATTCCTCTGGAGCCACATGGGAGTTACCAACCTCTGGCTGGTGTTTCTCAGCAGCTGAACATGTGACGCGTAAAGGGAGACAAGGTCTTTGTGGGCTTTTCCAAGGAAACCCTTTGTTGACACGACAGTGATAACACGCTGGGTTTAGAGAAAGGGAGGAGGGGGAGGGTTCAGAGGTGGGGGTGGGGGTCTACATTTAATATCCAATCCAGCTTTTATTTGTTAAGCACTTTTAAAAGAACCAAAGTGCTGTACAGGAGAATAAATAAAAGACATAACCGCTCACATGAGGTGCAAAATTACAACAATAAAATGAAAAGACATAAAACATGAGCAAGAATAACAGCCACGCAATAAAAAGCAATCAAAATAAGAAATTAAATCAAGTAAATAAAGTCGACATCTTACTAGGTATTAAAAG